TATATATAGAATGCTTTATTAGAAAAAAGATTTTGTCTAAACTAGAAAGATATAACTGTCTAATTTATCTATTTACTGGCATCAAGTCCAAGTATAAACTACTCTCTCAATGTAGTTGAGTCACCATTTCACTACCAATTAATAGTGCATACAATATTGTGTTACCGTGAATTTATTATAATTATTATTATAATATTCAGCACTGCTTTAATTTCTTTTACTTTGTTAAACTAATAATTACACTTAAAAATTCAATTACATTCACTTAAATATTAATTAAACCGAACGTGTACGTTTTTTTCTTAAGAAAAGATGTTGTTGAGTAATAAAAGAGTGGAATTAAATTTTTATTTTAATTTCAAAAAATAAATATATGCGATTGGCTATAAATTTATACAGGTAGATATTGCATATATTGTGATATGAAAAAGAACTAGTTCCATGACGTCGTCTGTGAGCGTTCAAAGTTCAAGTGTGCACTTGTAGGATTCACTTTTTCGGATTATCCGAGGAAAGAAAAAATAAGAATACGACACACGGGAACGTGACGCAACAACGTGCACGCTACGCGTGCAACAAGCGTGTCGGTATTTATCGTGGCATGCATATATAGGTATACTATAACGCACTATCCGCGCGCCTAGCTGGCGCCCGTCATGAGTTTTATCGTCTTTCTAGTTTCTCACTATCGTGCGAACGACGACGAAAACGAAATTTTTAAATCATTAGCTCGCATCCCGCGCTGTCTCTTATATACGTATACTATACATATATGTTGCAAAACCCAGCAAACGAGAATGGATTAAAATGGATTAAAATTTTTTTAATGCGTACTTTAAATCCATGTGTGAAAATGGATTGAATGGATTGAATCCGAGCTGACACTAGTTTAATATTCGAAAAAAAAAACAAAACATTCATATCTAAGGGTTACAAATTTTATTCCTATGACATTTATACCTGAAACTAACTACTTCAAATTGTTATTAAAAAACACACCTTTAATGGGATTCGAACCTGCGACACCTCTGGATTATGAATCTTCTACGCTACACCACTTCTTTAATTGATAAATGTGTTATTCATTCTCTCTACTTGAATTACAACCAACTAAAACTAGTAACGAAATTATATAGATATAATAAAAATATATACCATTTAACATCATTTAACAGATATAATAAAGTATAAACAATTTACATTATTATGAGACAACATTGAGTAAGTGTCATTGGATAAGCTAATCTCGCTTGGCCGATGTCATGCACCGTGATTAGCCTAATATGCTGTGTTCAATTCGCTTTGCGAGTGTTCACATTCGATTATTCATTTTACTTCTAATCAAAGAGAAACTAAAGAACGTAGCTCAATTATTGTTACAACTTTTTTGAACTTAGTTGGATTAAAACGAAAAATTTCCTACTTATAATTTTGAATAATTTAAGTAGCATTTATGGTCCATTTTTAGATAAAAATTTTTTTTATTCAATTAGGTTGAAAACTGCATTTCTTATTCAGAATATTGAATTGAGCAGTATTCACGTTGCATAGAAATTGCTGATATTATTTTTGAATTAAACAAACTGTACTTCCTATTCACAATTCTGAATTGAGTAATATTCACGATGCACAGAAAATGCTAATATTATTTTTGGATTGAAAGGCATAGACATTTGCTTTATGCAATTCCTACAAATGAATAAAAATGTATTTCTGAAAATCTAAATCCATTTTAATCTATTTCATTCCATTCTCACTGGGATATAATGCATATTTCTATGCATTATATTCGCACTCGTGCGCAATGAATACGAGAGACCAAGAAATTCGAGCGACCTAAAGAAATTAAACTTACTGTCGTACGCGCGTGCGTATTGCTAGTTGACAATTACTAAATTTAAGCGGTTCATCAGCAGTAGATAAAAAGTTGAAAACAATTTTTAAGAGGGAGAAAATTAAAAGGAGCTCGCGCTCCTTGATGTTACATATTTAGTTACGTATAGCAGGCGCCTTTCTCAAGTGCGGATGTTAATCTATCGATCGATGAATCATTTACGTAGCGCTCGGTTCGAGTAAGTAAACGATTTCATTGCTCGCCGCTCGCCGCTCGCCGCTCGAGCATTCCATTTCCACGAACGACCGACCCCCTTTCAAGATAGTTTACACTGTCGCGTAATAGCCTTTGTTTGTTTGCAACTAAATTGTTTCGACAAATCCCCTTTGGCGCCGAGTATTTTTAGGCGACCTGCACCCCTTGCAATATATATTTATAATAATACACCGCGCTTACGAACTTGTAGGATTTCACTTTTTCCGCGAGCAAACCTCGCTTTTCCTTCGGTCGAAATGATGAAAATCTTGGACGACTTTGACTTGGCCAACAAAAAATTTATCTTGCGCCTGTAGATACGTTCTTATGGATATATATTTATATGCGTGCCGCGTGCGCATCCATTCAACTACATATATGTACATATTACGCCGAATATTTCGCGCGTTGTCACTTGTTGAATATTACGAAAGGTAAGTTTCTTGGTTCTAGCTCCTTTTACCTCGAGAGTATCTCAGAATGAATAATTGCACGAGTTGTGTGATGCGATAGTCACTCTTCTTTCTTACTAAATTCACTTAGTGAGAATTAGTAAAACAAGCATGCCGATTCGAGCACGTGCACGCACGCGCCGTGCTTCCTGCGATCATCCGCACGCAACTACCTATATCGCGCTTTTATCAGCAACAGTAGCAACGTAATAGATATTAAAAACGCGCTATATTATTACTATCGTATTATTAAGATAACGAAGGAAGACCGACGCATAAAATATCTCTCGCGAAAGAACAAAACGAGTAGTCGATCGTTACATAGCGTTACATATGAAATAAAATGAAAGAGCGGTACGCAATTTGTTTAGAATGGCGAAAAAAATCGCACGCGTGGATGAAAGGCTGCATGTGCTATGTACACAACTAGCGCATGTGTAATACTTGTGCGTAGATTTTCAAATAGTAGATTTTCACTTGGATCGAGATAGGCGCCCAGCCAGCCCAATCAGCCCAACCAGCCCAGCGTTTATTACCTTTATCGGTAGACTGCGCGTCTTTGTCAGCCAGCATATCGTAATCCTCTGCATCTGAATTCGTAGGTGCACCGCTGGTGACAGCGACGACGAGACCTGTCGTCATCATCGCGATAGTCAGTACGTCGCGTGGTGACATCCCGAACGTGATCATCATCGCAGTTCGCTACTGTTAAATCGATTTCGAATATCTTGGCTAATTATCCGAATCCACGTTAAATCAATCCGGCCACGTGGAGCGAATCTCTCAAGCGCGAATCGGTGCTGACCCGGCGCGGCGTGTTCGTCGTCAGGACGATGAATTTCCAAAATTTGGGCATGTGTTTCCCTCGAATGTATCGTTGTTGAATTGTTACGATGATCGATGGATCAACATCACGCGAGCACGTTGAGCATGCAGGTGCACCAAGCGCACACGTGAGTGGAGCGGCACTCGGCCGTATAGCTTGACGCTACTCGGACGATATCCAGCGGTTGACTGACTCACTCACCTCTACCGACTACCATAGTACTCGCAGTCCTCACAAATCCCACGGCACGGCCACAACAGTCCGCACCGACCCGCTCCGACCAGCTCCGACCAGCTCCGACCAGCTCCGACCGTTCGGTCGCGTCGCGTCGCGTCGGCGCCTCGGTGACCGGCCACCTCGGAGCTAGATCTCAGATCAGCCAGAGAGCTCGAGACTCCCGAGAGCCGTGCACAGTTGCGCCGAGCGCAATCCAAGAATGCTCGCTTCGAATGTCGGTTTTTAAAGGAAAGCTGCCTGCGCCACTCCATTAAGCTATCGCACCGACCGCTCGTTACCGCCTTCAGGTTGCACAATTCGACTTCAACCGCATTTACCTACACCCAGAGATGCAGCAGCAATCATTATTCCATCAGCTAATTATTTCTTTACTCTTCTTAAGAACCTACATACACTTTTCTAGATGGCCGTTTATACTTGGTTAAAAAATTCTGCACTGAGAGGAAATTTGTTACATATCATACACATATATTTTATGTATCGAGATCGGATTGGTATCGGAATTCAATTGTTTTTTAAAATCGAATAGCGCACATGCGTGGCACGCTACACTACTTACATTAACTTACATTAATAATGTATCAAGCGGTACGCAGGAAGTCGCAGGAACATGGCATCCGATCGGCACTCGGCCGACGCGACGCCGCGACGCGCGACGCCGTGCGTGTGTAAGTAGCGCGAATGAGCGTGTAATAGTATGGGTGCGATTTGTCAGCGGAAAGTCGGTGAGAACAGCTGCGGCGTGGAAGGGGACGATGGCGCCTAAGTCCTGACGCCAAAGTGGTGCGATCGACGCGACGCGACGCGACGCGACACAATGTATGTATCTTTGCCTGCTTTTTCCCTGCTTTTTCGATCGTTAGACGCAACTTTTTTCACTACTACGATACATACGTTGCCCCATGTTATTCAATTTTATTCATTTCTCATATACAATACAATTTGTGTTACAATATCGATATATATACAATACTAATACAATCTTACACTTCTAATTAGACTTACATAACATTTTTATATATGCATCTCTACATATTTTCAATTATATACAGTAATCATTGATTGAGTCGAAATACGCACGAAATATGTACATACGATTCTTGTACTTGTCTTGATAATTTCTTTTATACGTTTATTCGTACAACTTATAAGTAGATGATTCGCTGTACTCGTCGCGAGACGCCACGATGTCTCTTTCTTCGTCAATATTCGTTTATTTGTGTTGGATGTGAAACTTCTTTCTCACGATGACCAAGCGTTTTTAGTGTAGGACTTTAGTGTACTTTCGGCGCGCATATACGTACGTTATTCCTCTTTGATCAAGCATCGGCAAGATGCGTACGTGTATGTTCGGCAACCTGGAGGATGACTAATTACGTTGAAACAGCCGGAGTGAAGGAGGGCCGGGGCACCTGGCACTCCTGGCAATCCTGGCAGTCCTGGCACTCATGCTATGGTTGATCGCTCCTCGAGGGGCTCCCACCAGGGAATTTGAGCTACATGGCCCACCGTTAGCTATCCATACGGATAGATACCTATAAAACAAAGGATGCCAGCGTGGTAGTTGATTTATTCTTCAGGCAGCTTCGTCAAACACACACACACACACACACACACACACGCGCACACGCACACGCACACACGTCAGATCTCGCATCTCCAAGTCGTTCGTCACGGGTGACGTCGCTTTTTCTCTCTTCCCGCGGTATCTAGTTATTCCTAAATAAAATTAAACAAAATCTTGTTACTCGCATTATATATTTGGAGTGGCATTGACAAGTGCCATGCGTTTTCGCGTAAATGTAGCAAAATGAAATCTTAAAAGCAGGGAATAGAAGTACTTTTTGGGTGACTTTACTGGTAACTGCGTTACTTTTTTTTTGGTAACTTACAATTAGTTACATTTTTTTGGCAGCGATAATGAATTTTACAGTTACTTTTATCGTTACAGTTTCTTTTATCGTTACTTAGACATGGTTCGACTAGACACAAGCCACTTATATGTTTGAGACTAGAAAGTCTCTAGGTACTCGTCTGATGTGATTGTTGATTTCAAAAAAGTAACGAAAAGTTACTTTTTCAAGTAACGGTAACCGTAATCGTTACTTTTAAAGTAAGTAACTTTCCATTCCCTGGTTAAAAGATTAAAAAATCTAAAAAGATTTTGGAAATTCAATTCTTACAATTTTGCACGCAGATATAGTAGGTAGAATATATCGTATCTTAAATATCGTGACATATATACTATATATCTATTACATATATGCATTTATATTTTAGACTATTCTTTTGACACACATACACACACACACACACACGCACGCACGCACGCACGCACATATATAAATATATATATACAGGGTGTAACTGAAATAACGCCTACTAATCATACAGTGCTATTCCTAATAAAAAATCAAATCGAATTGCAATTTTCGCAATAGGTAACGAGATATTAATTTCTAAAGATTGCCGAATAAACGGATAAAATCGATGTTCAAGACAATTTTAAGATATCTTACCATGTTCTTTGTGAAATATTTTGAAGACTTTTCTTAAAAAACTCTTAGATAAAGATATCTTAAAGTTATCTTATACGTCGATTTTACTCATTGGGTAACTAAACACAATATGGCAAAAATTTCAAAATAGTAGAGAACTTTTCATCTCAGTTTTTTATTAGGAATAACACTGTATAATTAGTAGGCATTATTTCAGTTACACTCTGTATCTGAGGCCTTATTCTCAACATAATTAAATGAAAAATATCTAATATAAATTGAATGTGAACGTTCTGACGAGGTATGTATGAAATTCTATAGCTTAGAAATTTGTATGTATGGAGTGCTCCAGACCGACCCTACTGAAGTAGCTAGCCCTGATTACATGTATATTATATAATACGGATTAAAGCAAATTTGACAGCCGCGTCTATAATTTTGATGAATGAATCCAAGCGATTCAGCGATGTGACAATTTATCGTCACAACTGTCAAGGGTTAATAGTGTCTGCTGAGATAATATTATTAGGTAGCGCGCGATACTCGATCGCTCGTGATCCAACAATCGTGTCGGCGCTACTGCTGGAACTTGAAAGCTATATCCAGCGAACGCGAACGCGTAACAAAAAATCGCTTTAATACACGACTCGGCCAGCCTGTCGGCAGCAGTTATCTCCCGCACGGTCGGTTTCTATTTATATTTTCTGTTCGTTAGTCGATCAGCGGCATACGATCGAGACGAGAATTATGTATGTATATACCCCTGGGCGCAAACAAGTATATACGTTTAAGAGATCTATTCTGAATAAAAGATATTATAATTACATCCCGCGCAATGCATATATCTATTCCTACTCTATTCACAATTCCAAGTTTATATCTATTTATAACTATTATAGGTATCTTGTTTAATAAGATGTAATATATATACTTTAGTTATATATACTTTACCTGTATCTTATCTTATTCCGTTTCAGAAAAAAAAATTCACAATTTCATCGAATCACAATGTACCTATAATTGTAAGTTTCGGCGTCATATTCACCAACAGTTTACCGTCTCCATTATATAACGATTACTTCGAAGGAATCTATAATATACAATAAAATATTTATTAGTAACATTTTTATCGTTTTTCAGCATCTGTCGTATAAAATTTATTTTCCCAAGTTGTATCGTAAATTATATTAGATGGATAAATATATATTTGTGATTGTGGTATTAGATTATATCCGATAAAAAGTAAATATATGTGTGTCCGCAAATTGATATCTGATTAAAAATTATTTCGTTAAGGTATCCTTATAGGCACTATATAGGAACTCGTCGAGCTTCCTGTATATAAATCACGCTCAAAAATCGATTCGATACACACGTACGATGCCGGAGATTCCGATCCACTTAAAACCGGATCTTGTCCCAACTCCCTGCAGGTTTATTCGGATATATCTGACGAGGATAGAAACCGTGAATAATACGTTGGAAAACAATACTTCGACACAAAAGGCGTGGAATTGAAACGATCGTTACAATGCGATATAATTATTAAAGGAATCAATTATTTAAGAACTTGGTGCGACTACACTCGATTAAATTACACATTAAAATCAATATCTCTATTGATAGGAGAATGATGATCATGTAATTTTCAATGGATTTCAATTAAATTCATTTAAATAACGCGCAATCAATATAATAAGAAAAAGCTTATACTGGAAAAAAAACCAATATCTTTTACACATCATAATAGTATTTATATATCTTTTGTCAAATTAAATACATTTGTATAATACTATATACATATACATAAGGGCCACGCGGTTATAGAATTTTACGATTATATACGATAGATGTATGAAAATCCAAATTGCACGATTGAACAATGGATAAAGTTTTATCTTTATCATTCAAAAATGGGAGGTAAGGATTGCTCTTCGGTCACTTTTTTATTGTGTAAAACGCGAAGAAATCAAAAGACGATAAAGACAAATTGTGGAGGCCGCGCACGATGTCAACCACTCCAAGATAAAAAGAGTACGAGACTAACGATGCGCGCGTTTTACTAAGGTGTGTGTATATGAGATGGGTCGACCGAAACACCGTTTCCCGTCCCAAACTCGAAAACCCACTTAACCATTCGGAGAATGAAGATTAGAGGGCAGGTCTGTAAGAAGCCTCCAAGCCATGCTATCTACGGTTTTCAGGATGGGGAAGGAACTGAAGACTCTGGGGATCGGCCCCTCGTCGAGAGACAGACTGATAAGAGGGCGGCTTTTAGTGTATCGCGATGGTAGTGCAAACTACCCCGAGGAAGTGCAGTCGGATAGCCGAAGAAAAGGAAACTGGATAGTTTTTAGATAATAAGGAACAGGCCTAAATGCAGGAATGCTGTCAATTAGACCAGAGGAGTTCCCCATTCGTGAAGCAACTAATGTTAATGTTATTTATAAAACCGCAATCTCGCACATGCGCGCATACGTGTATAGTCAAACGTAATTTAACAATAGATATTGATAAAATTAAGTTACGAATTTGCTATTCGAGAAATCGCGAAATAATTTGCCACGTTCCACGTGAGAAAAACGAGTCCTATGTCGTGTAGGTGCAGGTTACTATAAATGTGTATCGCTCGCCGTATGGCCTCGATGTTCATCATCTGTTACACAGGGTGGTCCCTGCGTTCTACCAAGGCTACTTTCGAATAGATTTATCTTCGCCAATCGTTTTATAATTATATCCAATATTAATTAGACCTTCTACCGTTAATAATGTATCGTCTCTTTGCACAGTGACACACATATTTCGATGATAATACTTTTATTTATTTATTTTACATTGTAATATCCTTACACATACATTTTACTTAATATTTCTTTTATATTAAAGTATAGATATGGATAAGACATAAATTAATTTACAAAGAATCTTTATTGTTCAAAGAAATTTGGCGATAACAGGGCAATATAGAAGTCAGTCGCGGTAGTCGTTGCGCAAATAATATATATATATATAATATATATATGCATACATACACACAGATATAACATAAAACTCTTTATTTTGGTTTATTTTTTAGCCCTCTTCAGAGACATAAATCATTGTTATAAATACAATCTATACGTAATAACTTATATCTTGTCATAGCGAGCTTCCTCCACTACACTAAAAAATCTCTATACAAGAATTAAGCCATCAGATGAATGTTAAAAAGAAAAGAGAAGAAAAATTTTTTTGAATTTATCAGAGATGAAATTTGGAAAACCTTAATGAAAATAAAGAGGCTCATCGAATATTCGTATACCATATCGCAAACAATAAACACAATTATGTCAAATTAAGTGTACTGCTTATTAAAATTAGTTAGCATTTCTTAATTTTAAAACTCTAAAGTTAACTCGTTATTTAATTAAAAAAGGGAAAGATAACGATCGATAGTCAAGATAGAAAGACTTAGTTTCTATGCAAGGACGACACTGACTGACTGAAACCAAAACAAGTTGACATTTATAGCTTGTCAATAATCGGAAAGTAGGTCTTGAGAAGTCCCTCCATATCTATCTGTAAATAACACTTCCGAAACCAATCTTTTCCTGAATATCTTGAGGTTCCTCATCCAAAATTGTAACGTTCTCCTAGTCGAACTCATGATCCTCTTGCAAACGGTGATCAGTTATGACCGAACGGGTAAATGTATTCCACCGGATGTGATTCCTGTGCTCAGTGATTCTGGACTTCAACTGTCCGTTCGTCTGTCCCACACAACTCGCAATCCTTACAAGAAATCTTATACAAGACATTCGATTTCATCACATTATATCCCGCAGCGGATTCTTATGCACCTCTCTCTTTTAATGAATTCCCGTAATTTATTAGAGGAAAGACCCCTATTATGAGATATCGAGTTCATTTTGGGTAAATGCTGGAAGTCTATGGGCAGAATTTAAAAAAATAATAGATCATTTTGGGGGAATTTAATAAGTTTTAAGATAATCAAGGGAATTTAATAAGTTTTAAGATAATGTTATATAAAATTTAATTTAAATTTCATTTTTTTTGAGAATTAAAGAAATGTAAAAAGTGAGCAAATCAAAAAATTGTGCTCCTAATATGAGATGCCTGAGAAATCGATTAGTATGATCTTCTCTATCACTACACAGAATTTATTGCCAAATATTTATTATTTTTTTTTATTATTAAATAATAAGCAATATTTAAAGACTCATCTCAATAAAACTTGAAGATATCCAAATTTTAAAATCTTTTTTTACGATGACTACAGGCATGATCTAATAATGAATTTTCTACTAAACAGGTTTCAATTCAAGAGCAATAAATTCATGGTGGAACTAATAGATAGCGTCTATTAGTTTAGCAGAAACGCCGCTATCTCATATTAGGCGCCTATCTCATAATAGGAGGTTTTCCTCTATTATTATAAAACGATACTTTAATATAATTGCTATTTAATCTATTATACTTTTTGATAATATTAGAAACATAAGAAATAGTAACCTATAAAAGTGATACAATTTCAGCGTTATTTTCGTTTTTACTTTTTATGTTACTACACCTAATAATGTCATTCAGACGATTATTAATATTATCAAAAATGAAACTCAATGGAGAGTCATTCTCTAACAGTATTTTAATTATAAGACAAAAATTATCAAAGTGAAATTTCGGATTCGAAAGCATAATCACTCTATCAATCAATCCCTCTACCAGCAAAAGAAAATTATTTTCTTCTCTTTTCTTTTTAACATTTATCTGAGTTTAATTCTTGTATAGAGATTTTTTAGTGTAGTGAAGGGAGCTCACTATGACAAGGTTGTTATTACGTATAGATTGTATTTATAACGGTGAATTATGTCTCTGAAGAGGGCTAAAAAATGAGCCGAAACATGTAATCGCGTTAATTTAATAAAGAATCTTATATTATATATCTATATATTATTTGCGCAACGAAAGACCACCGCACCTGACTCCTATTGCCCTGTTATCGCCAAATTTCTTTGATATAGATAACTTTAAGAAAATATAATAATTTAATATTGATTTCTTTTCACGAGATCATATTTTTTCATATTAATTGTATAAATGAAGAATTAATTTATACGTATAATATAGATGTGAGAAAAATACACGAACCTTGTAATCACATAGCAAGATGCGAGAACGGATATAAGGACTGCAACTGCAAGGACAAGAGCGGCGACGTGAAGCGCTTTGATGCGATTCTGAAGAAGTCGATTGGTTGATTCTATTGAATCCTCATAGTTTCGGTCAGGTTGTAACGTTAACATTGTATGACGATTCGTTGACGTTAAATAGTCCATTAGCGTCTCGCGATTTATTGTAGAATATGTCTGATCCACCTGAATCTTTCTTTCGTGCTTCCATGTGCTGGCATTCTCCTCGTCGTCGTCGTCGTCGTCGTCGTCGTCGTCATTAGCATTGCAGTAGTCATGACTATTGCAACATTTCAATCTGGGCCAGGGCACGAGAACCCGAGGACTTGTCGATAGTTCCATGGCGTTGACCGATCGTGACCTCGTGACCCAGGACTTTGTTTCGCACAACAATGGCGTGGCACCTCTGCGTGTGATATTGCGAACATCAATTGATAAAGTTCCGCGAACCCACCCGTCGCCGCACGTTATAGATAGCTAACGCAGCGGCGCTTACGTGATGCCTAACAATGTCATTCCCTATCGCACGAGAGGCAATACAACTTTTACGATCTTGTAATTTTTCGAGTTGCAACATATCTGGCCGAGATCACAACAGTGGACTGAATCGTCAATTATTTTTATTTTTCTCAAATAAGGAATAGATTTTAGAATTTAAAAAGTAATGTTTCGCTTATAGATAAAATATCTGCAGTGACACAAGACAGAGACCTCATACAGCACAGAAACTTGCAGTAACATTGCAGAAATGTTGCAATATTGCAGATTGCGCTGTAATATCGCTGCAATATTGTAGATATTAGAAATTGTAATATGTAATACATACGTATATTATGGCACGCAAGATTTTATAAATCTAGTAGCATTGTTATTGAGACATTAAAAACATTTTCGCTTTTGAGTAATGAATACTGCTGTCACATATAGAAACATACGTCAATTACACGTTATATGATTGTTAATTATTTCCATTAATATAGGAATTATAGTTGAAACATTTCTTGTCACTGCCGCGCGACAAGATTTTTCAAATTTTGTAATCAACTCTCATAATTCCTTCGAATATTTGGATTAAAAAAATTCTTTGAATATTGCAAAGAAAATAAAATAGAATACGTGGAGTTTCTTATTATTTCCATTTCACCAGGATGTAAAATATCAATGTTTATGAAAAAGTGTAAAATATGTATAATAATATCTATATATATATACGTAAAAAAAAAATATATATATATATACATGATGTATATAAAAATTTGCAATTAAGTATAAAATATAATAATTATATAAAATTATATATACAACATAAAATATATATTGATTAGTTCTTTTCTTGTATTTTTTAAATTTATATCACACACACACAAATTGTATAATATTTCAAATTATATTCAGTAATAATGAAAAAACTATTTTTAATAATAGTTACAAATATATTGCGCTGCAATATTGCTACGACATTGCAGCCTAATCTTGTTGAAAGCGGATATTTTTATGATGTTTTTACGACATTGCAACAATGTTGTAAATATATTACAACATTGCAATGAGATATATTTGCAATCATGTCGCAATCTTTCTATACTGTATGAAACAGCAGTCCTTTGAAATAAACCGAATATATTAAAAATTAAAGTTATATTTTAAAAATACATTACGCGCACTAAAATGTCTTTACTTATTAATTATTAATACTGCGTCCAAATACTATTATTGTTAGTTATAGCTTGTCATTTGTGAAGATGAAGTTTTGAGAAACACACGAATATTTATTTTGAAACAATTATATCCTGGTATTCGGAAAGGTTTAAATTAGAGCTTCTGTAATGTCTCAAATTGAATAGCAAAAGAGCAACCTCTGCATAAAACTTGTATGCAGAAAATAAATATCACATAGTCTTATTAACATAATATCCGGATTTTGTTGAACGAATCCTTGTCGCAAATGCCATGTTTAAGGTGATCACGGTAATTTATTAATGTATGGCATTTAATAAAAATCGTGGAAACCTTTTCGTTCGATTATCTCGTCAAGGTTAAGTATATATATATTTCGCACGCCATAATACATTCCTGAATTTATATTACACTGTTAATGAAACTTATATAAAGCGACAAATAAAATCCTGTTCATGAAGAGACGTCTTGCCTTTTGGCATTTTAATTCATATGAGATAAAAAAATATATGTTTTCGAAAAGAAAAAGTTGTATGATATGTGTGATAGAAGAATGCTTTAAATGCTAATGTACAAAATTAATTGGTATTCACTTATGCATAACTTTCGTTAAACATCTGCAAAAAGTGCAAGACAATCATTATACATATATGTACATACTCCGTGCATCCTCTCGTGATTGTACTTTCACCAATTTCCTGTCTCGTTGTCACGATAAGTTCCGTGTAGCAAAAGAATCTCGTTCTACAAGTATCTATACCTGCTTCTTTGCAGGCTTTGCTCGTACATACGCACTTTCTGCCTATATAAAACATAACATTTGTGTAACGATCGAACAGTCTAAAATAGAAAGTTCAAATGTTAGTTGACAAAAATATTTACTCACTATAGTGTTTATGAATTTTGTCAAGTTTCGCAAAGGTACGTTGCTAATTTATGAAAGATAAAAATTCGATTTCAAAAATTAATGATGAAACTTGATCTTTGATTTATACTACATGAGGAAATGAAAAATTTGGAGCACGTCAATTTAGATATTCGTTTTCTTCTGTAAATACATGTATATTATAGCTCACAATTAGTTTTATTTTGTATAATATAATACCGAATTGTTGGAATGAAACAATTCAGTCGAGCGCACTCACATAGAAACTAGAAAGAACGCGTTTAATTAATGGCGCTTCTCTGCTTGATTCACGTTAACGATCGCGTCCCTTTGAGCCAATTAGAGTGGCATTTGCAGCCCGGATGACAATTATAATTAACAATTATAATACAGGCTCGCTCACCTTCGACTTGCGCGACACTCGTCGACAGAGACACAATGCACCCCGCGAGGAGATATCCGATTAACGATCGACCGATTATCAATCGACGAGTGAGCATCTCTTCTTCTCAAGGTTTCCGAAGGACCGAATTAAGTATTTACATTAGGTCGCGATATCGAATTAGTTTGCGTTTATCGCTTATCGGGCGCCACGTTGCCGATAGAAGGACTGCGGGCCATAATTACAACTTTCGCGATTCTCTGCTGAAATGGATCGTCTTATCGGTTGAAAGGACTATTTCGAAATGTTGTGTTGGAAGGAGGAAGCTGTACCGCGACGAAACTCTCTTCGCCGCTACTCGCGTGGGCTCCTCTAATTTTGGCGCCTCCCACTAAAAGAGCGTCGCGCCGTGGCCGGTTCGACAATTTATTCCTGTATCTATTTTAATTCCATCATCGATGGCGTTTACTCGTGGCCGCGAATCCCTTTTCGTTATTCCCACTGTCGCGAAGCGATATATTTATTCTCGCTTCGCGCCTTTCGCTTTCGCGCGAATCCAATCCCCTTTTTTCGCGGATGCTCCCTGATAGAGTGCTGGCGGGAGTTACCACGCTTCTAAAGTTGTCCGATTTATTGGAAGAATAACACGCCGATTTCTCCCCACATACGCTTTTATTTATACGAGAATATATTTCGAGAGACGATGCTCTCGTCCCGCGTCGACAACGATTCGAACGTAACCGCAGGCTTTGATGGCGCCGAATGGTGCGTGCGAGAGAGAGAGAGAGAGAGAGAAACGACCTCCTCCAGACGGCGCCGACGACCTGGAGTCGCAGAGTCCTCGTTAGCGGAAAAATCCAAGACAGGGCGCATCTTTTCCCTCTTCTCTTTGATCGAGAAATACTTTTGTCATTTATATATATACAAGTATATATATATATATATATACGAGTATGTAAAAGTATCGCGAAAATAGTACGATTAAATAAATTGTACGTATACATATGTATGTACATGTGCATCATAGAGCGATGTATGATGTACGCTCAATTGTTTCCACTCTTTTAAATTAGCAACTATTTGAGAAATACAGTTACTGCATATATATATATATATATTGTGTGTGTGTATATATATATAGCTATATCCGAGCGAATAGAAGCAAAGATCACAAGCAAGCATTTTGAAGAAGTAAAAAATTTTTATTAAAAGATCAAAATGTCTCGCAAAAATATTGCAAATACAATATATGATAATCAGTAATTATAGTAAGATCACAAAATTACAAACCGGAATAATATTAATTTCAGATTTTTTGAGTCTTTCTCATTTTCGTTCTTTTGACGTAGTACACCGTATCGTAGTTAAATTGACGTTCGCGTGACAATGTGCAAGATATTACAAAAATGCGAGTGGACGGTGATGAGCGATTTCATCAAGAACATAGTGTGTAGAGTTTTCCTGTGTTTGACCGGCAATGGCGGCAATATACCGGCATTCAATGACTCACGAATCATGGCGCGCGCAGTCATTAGAACTTTTCAAGTGCAGTAGACGAGAGTTAAATTCCTCGTTTGGCTTCCTGAGTATGTAACCTGAGCATTAACCAGAGTCTCCCCGTTCTTTGCATTTTTTTTTATCGATCTCTGAATCGAGAAAGAGACAGAGAGAGAGAGAGAGAGAGAGAGAGAGAGAGAGAGAGAG